TATCACGAAACTAGCACAATACTATGCCACAAATGTACATCCATCTCAAGAACTATGGGGGGGGCGGGCCACAATAGAAGCTAGACTGTATTAGTCTAGCTGTCTATTGTGATGATACAATCTAGCTAGATTGTATTTATAGCAATAATACAGTGAATACCGTAACAATGTTGAATTGTACGGTACTTCTACAGTTAGGTATACTAATAATTGACACAACTTTGAATGGTTTACCTACAATAGGATCCAAATACTAGTACCAACAACCCCTGGGTAGGTTTCCTCTGCACTTATTTCTCGATGATGGCTAGTTCAAAATTTACATAGACTCTAATTCCGAAGGTTTGTGTCAACTACCGTCTTCTTATCGCACAACAATATCATACAAGAGGCAAATCAACCATAAGAGTGAACAGATCTCCGTACCCTGCGCTATACTCCATGGTGCACTGACAAACATGTGGAACGCCAAGATGAGCTTGGCTGGTAACAACTTGTCAATGACAAGAATGTCCTAGTCTCAACATGTTGGGACCCACACTATACCGACCACTGCTCGGTATAGTGTGGGAGAGCTACATAAGTTGTCGGTCGGTCTAGTGTGGGAGTACTATATAAGTTGGTGATTTTACATAATCAAGTGATCCCTGAATTTGTCGAGCCGTTTGTGACTCACAAATAGTGAGCCCACTCCCCTCCAAACTTGCATTCACCGTCATCAAATTGACCAGTTCGACACTCTCTCTCCATTTATGACAGCCACAGTTTCTCTCACGTATTGGAGAGGATCCAACTTCTTGGGGTCCACCTTACGAGGCATAGTGGCCAACCGTTGGTTGTTGTGATTCTCCGCGAATTCAGAACTCAGCTGCTCAGACATACTAAAGGGGAAAACAGATTATAGCAATACTAATCATTAGTAACTAATGCAACAAGGTGATAATTCGATCACTAGCCTTAGCGTTGACACAAAGCTTAAAATAAAAGAGCAAATGGGACAGGCGTCACAACTTCTTCATCCTCGTCCCCTTAACGGCGGGCTGCTTTATGGAGCCTGCCAATCTCAGCGTTCACCTCAGCAGCTGAACGCTCCTCCGACTGGCCTTCAACACGTTGAACTTGGAATTCTTCTCTGAGTACATCACGAGTCAAAGTCTGCGAGCGCTGAGCAGCTCAGCCTGAGCTGCAAACCTAGTGGGCCTTACCCCGGAGCTCTCTTCACTAACCTTACAACGCTTTAGGTTACCAGCATAATGGGTCTCGATACCACGCTCCGTTCTCAGAGTAGAACTTCGACCAAGCAACAAAACTATAAAAATAAGGACCACACCAACAGGAATCCAGCGTGGATGGCCTGTTGGTGTAAACATAAACCTGTTGTCGACCTACTTGCTAAAGTATCATTTAGCTAGGCTATGGCTATAATGCTCATGTGTGTGTACACTCTCTAAGTATGTTTTCTTCCTCATACCTATCCCTTGTGTTGTGATCTGCCTGGTTCTACTGGCAACGTAGCTGATTCTCATACCGGTCGTGGTAGCTGCTTGATGGACCTCCCAAAGGATCAGGTTCTCAGCAAGTTGATTAACATTCCGGACATGGGGATAAACCATAGTAGCAGTCTTATTATACGAAGGACGCATACCCTCAGTGAATCTCGCCAAGGTCTCTGATGGACTCGTCTGGAATCCAGACTCTGGATGCCTATACAGCGACCCTCTACCAACAGAGCACGAAGACGGCTCACATAGCTCCCCATACTCTTTGTTCCCTTGAACACACCGTACGAGACGAGCACGATACCTCACGGCATCATTAGAAATACCATTAAGTCACTTAATTTAAGTGCCAACCAGATACTGTTGGGCCTTGACAAGTCTGGCCACTGAGTCTGCTCCCATGAGTAGACTCTGTACTACAAGGCTACAGGGCCTGTAGCTCCAGTAAGTCATACAACTCAGATTTCACAGTACTGGATAGATACCCAAGAACATAACGAAACATCGTCTCACTGTTCAAACCATACAACTGACCAGTCAGAGCAAGCTCTCGACAGAAATTGGAGACGCTTCTCGCATCATCTCGACCTTGAAACACCTTATCGCCCGGGTTCACCAGCAAGCTCACCGATAGCAGTCGTGGTCTTGACGTCAGAACGATGATCCTGAGAATCGTTATAAAGTCGATCAAAGGAGACCGTGCTAACAGGGCCAGTCTTAGAACCCACCGGTAACTCGGCGTGGTAGACTGGTCCTTGAGTCGGTGGCTGCGCTGACCGACCCATCATCCTAACGGATCCAGCTTCAGACGAAGCCAATCTCTGCCCAACACCTTCGCAGCGCCAAGCGAGTGGACAAATGGTCAACTGAGTCTATTAGAGTATTAGCTTCAGTAGAGGTCATAAACACCAACAAATCACGCTCAACACCAAGCTTCTCAGAAAGCAAACGACGAGCCATGCTTGCATCTAAGACAACCTCAGGCGATCTAGACCTCTCACGATGAGAAGTCTCATCCTGGCAGGATGATCCTGCCCAGTAGTAGCCAAGCCTGGCTGAGAACCAGAAACCACGTCCGTAGTGTGCACGTTAACATCCTGCTGAAGGGTACCAATGTTGTTGTGATTCGCCGCGGATTGAGAACTCAGCTGCTCAGACATACTGAAGGGCAAAACAGATTATAGCAATACTCATGCAACAAGGCAATAATTCGATCACTAGCCTTAGCGTTTATACAAAGCTTAAAATAAAAGAGCAAATGGGACAGGCGTCACAACTTCTACAGGTAGCATGGATACGCAGGCTCATTGGATTCTCGCGATTCTCGAGAAAATGAACTCCCATCTCATAAACCCCCACTAAATCACCTCGGGGCTTACGAATAACCCCCCTGGGGGAGTTATTCTGTAAACCTCGGAAACCGACCACCCATACCGTATCATGCATTGCCTATGATTGGCGTCTCCCCCAGGCATACGTGTTTGTACTGCAGGCAGTGCCTGCTTGTGCCTGCCAGGCACAAGCTCTCTAGCTGGCGAGCCTAGCCAGCGGTGCGAAATAGTCTGGTAATTCTGATATTGTGGAAGTGCTGATCCAGATTGGATTTGCTTTGTAGATTGTGACTTGTTTCTTTCAACCCGATCCACTGCCCCCTTTGAAAGGGGGCCCTTTCGCAAGTTAGACGCTGAATAGCTCAATTTTTGGCTTTCGTCAGCGACTTCACCTCTGATCTGATTTGCGTTTGAACACCAGCCACGAGGAACCAACAACCTTGCAATTGCCGAAAGCCACAAATCACGGATTCAGTGCGCGGCTTCCGCCAGTGACGCTGACTGAAGCCATCTTAGCGTATCGTTGACGTCTACAAGAGTATGGATCTTGACTGCCTTGCTTCATAGATTTGATTTGCTACGTTGACTAGCTCTTAGCGTAATTAGTACTCTGAGTAGGGTATCATGAGTATGACTCAGTAACTATGAGTCATAGTTAATTTATTGCATGTAAACTAGTAGTTGTATGTAATTTATTGTCAATAACTGCTATTACCTTGCGGAGCGAGCGAAGCGAGCCGCAACAACAGGCGCTTTCGCGTTGTGTGTGCTTGCCTGCGTGCAGAACTATTCTGGCTTGTGCTGATATGGGAACATATTATGTTAACTGTTGTCAATTGAGACTGTTGCGGTATGCACATCTGTGTCTCCGTTGTCCCCATTTGTATCAGCTAAGATATTAGCTAAGCTATACCATCCCATTCGTTACTCATAAGTTATTGGTGTATAATCAAGTCTTGCTATCTGTAACAAGGCCGTATTGAGTTGCATACATCGGCACAATCATCCGAGAAAACTACTACCTCAAGCTCTTGTGTAAAGACCACTCTGTTCAACAAGTAACGGTTCAATTGCTCTATGGTATCTCCCAAGGCGTCTGACCCAGTACTGACTGATGACAATAAGAAGAGCAGTACTGAGCAATCCCCACCTGTGTGGGCTTGGCAGTTGAAGAAGGAGCTAGATTCGTTGACGGAGTCGATTGCAGGTATTAAGTCACAGCTTGAGTCCAACGCTGATCACAAGACCAGACATGATGCAAATGGTACTACTGGTGCTACTGACAGCAAGGATGGTCCTACTAATACAGTGCATGGTATTGTTGAGGAGGTCAAACAACAGCTCGATAGCACTAAATCTGACCGAAGTGCCAAATCGTCGTTGGTGATAGAGCCTTTGGTTATCATGAAGATTAGCAAACAAGCTAAGTCTGCTGGTGTTATAGAGGGAGGCCGATTCTCTGGTGTGACTGATAAGAGGGGTTACATGATTTTCAAGAAGACTATTATGAATCAGCCAGAGATCCAATTTTCTGGCACGGGGGAGCTGTCAAGTGCTTACCAATACTTCTATATCATCAATAATGTATCTACTCCTCTACAACAACTGATTAATGAGCAATGCCATGTGAAGGGGAACACTTTGTTCAGTCAACGGGTTGTTACTGCATGGCGAGTTTTACGACTATATAGTGATCTCGGTAGCGAAATGGAGCTCCACCGGAAATGGGAGAATCTGAAGTGTGATGGCCCTACTACTTTGGAAGTTTACATCGCCGCCATTCAGACCATGAAAGACCAGATCGGTGAAGTTCGCGAATGTCCTCTTACAGACAGTGAGTTACGAGCTCGGCTATACTCAGGTTTGCCAACTGAAGCTCGTCTCTATCTCGATAGGATGCCGATGACTTCTGTATCAACTATGGAGAGTATGATT